GAGGTGAGACATCAATGTTAGTTTGAGATTGACTTTGAGACACATATAGGGTAATGTGTTTTCATCAAACACAACAAATTTCTGGATATGTACACTCTTCTTGTAAAGGGATGATAAAATCTATATCCTTTGTGTAAGTTGTTGTACCCTATGAACACACAAGGGTAAGTCTTTGGAGTGAACTTGTTGCTACCCTTGATATGTGGAAAACATTTACACCCAAACACTTTTAGGTTGTTGTAATCAGATTGATATCCATACAACTTAACAAATAGAGTCACCATATGTAGGACTGAGGAGGGAAGTCTTTAAATGAGGAACACTGAAGTGAGGAAAACTTTAACCCATAGAAACAAAATAAGGTTAGCATGAAGTTGTAGAGTTAAGGCAGTCTCCGCAATATGCCTATGTTTTCTTTCTGAAACTCCATTTTGCTCGGGTACGTTAGGGAATGAAATATGTCTCACAATGACACAATCTTCCAAATGCTTAATGACGTCTGCTTTGATAAACTCACCACCTCCATCACACTGAAATATCTTAACTTCTTTAGAGAATTGTTTTTCCACCATTTTCTCAAATTTTACAAAAACCTCAAAAAAATTATATTTCTTTTCCAATGGATAAATCCAGGTATATCTGTGTGATCATCTACAAAAACGACATAATATTTGATATGTTGAGAAGATTCAACAGGAGCAGGTCCCCATGAGTCACGATGATTTTTCAATAAAGGTTCTTCTCAGTTTTAATTCTAAAACCTAATGGAGGTTTACAACTTTTGCCCAACTGACAACTAGAACAAACAGTAGGCATTTTATTCCAACTACTAACATTGATGCAACTATTACTACCCAAAACTTTTAAAGGCTTCAAACTAGGGTGTCCTAATCTAGTATGCCACATGTTGTATGATGTGTTCTAATCGTGTGCAGTAGTTAAAGCATAAAGATTGTTATCTTCCAAAGCATAAAGTCCATTCCTTTTAGATCTCTTGGCCAACAGTGTCCTTGTCTTCTTGTCCTTTATAAAAAAGTTAGTTTCATCAAACTCAAGAGTACAACAATTATCCTTTGCAAGTTTACTAACTGAGAGTAGATTTTATTAATCTTAGAAACTACTAAAACTTCTTTTAAATCCTGATATGTTCCCAACATCTATTATGTCTAACTTTTATCCATTCCCAATAATGATTTTATATGGTCCATTGTAGTGTTTAAGATCAGTTAAATACCTAAGTTATTTGTCATATCACTACTTGCTCCTGAGTCCATATACAAGGTGTCATTAGTAGTGTTTTATAGATTAGTAGCAGCCAATACTTGTGGTAGCTCATCTGCAGCTTGGTGAGAGTAGTCCCACATGTAGAAACACTTAAGAATGGTATGGTTATTCCTACCACAAATTTTACACACATCATAGTTGTTCCTATCCAAACTTCCACTTGAAGGGCTGTTCTGAGGGCCTGGTCCATATTTACTATTATAAGAACTTGTTCCTAGTCTAGATTGCTTAAAGCCTCTTCCTCTAGAATCAAAGTTATTGTTTCCTCTTTTTTTAGAATAGATTCCTCTTCCCCTTGCCCTTTGGGTAGAGAATGCCATTCTATAATTTTGTTGTGGCACTTCTTCATCATCCTCCCTCATATCAAAAACCCTGAGAGCATTAACAAATTGATTGAGAGTGGGATATGATGTCTTACCTAGCATGAAATTTCTGAAAGTCTTATACTTGAAACCGAGAACTCTAGCAAGATTAATTACTTTGCTATATTCATCCACAGATTTGTGAATGGATGCAAGACCATCACATATGCCTTTGAATTCCTTAATATATACATCAATCTTTTGGTTCCTTGCCTAATACTTTGTTGTTATTGTTTGAGTAGGAACTCCTTATCTTTCGTTGCTTGAACGTAAGCTTCCTCCAAGAATTCCCACATATCCTTGGCAATTGAGCAGCCTACAATCAGGTGCATGCTTTCTTCTGTCATGTGCCTGAAATCCAACTTCTTCGCAACATATTTTTCCCCTCCTAGTCATCAATATTGTTGTTGTCTTCTGCACCCTTCTCAACTGCTACAACTTTCTCAGTAGTTTGTCCAATGGAACGAGTACCTTTAGTTGGTTCGCTCTCAGTGATGAGGTAGGTTAATCTCATCACCTAAATCAACTGAGATATTTGTGTCCTCCATATAAGATAGTTTGTTGGCTTGAGTTTATTGGAGTAGGATGCAAAAAGATGGTGAAGTGAGGAGGTCGATATAGTGTTAGTAGAAGAGGTCATTGCAATTTGATATTGTGGTTATTCTGATTTTGATCTAATACATACATTAAAGAGCAGAAACTTTAAAGATCTTACACCATGTAGAAATTTCACGTAAGGACTTAGGAGAAATCAAGGATTACAGTGATGATTAAACTGTTGAGTTACATACTCCTCATATAGGAGAAAAGTCTTATACTAGCTATCTTAGGAGTCCTACTACAGTACAAAATATATTGTTTGCATGAGCAGTATTACTATAACTAAAATACCTTATCCCAGTCGACTTTATCCCCATATACAATACATTAGCTTAGTCGTACATAATTTAGTATTTAGTAGTCTAGACCTAGTGTGACTATAACTCTATAGTAGTAAACTCGTTAGAAGCTTCATTGAACCTGTTCCATTGACATGTTCCAATCATTAGCCTCCTCATATTCAACAGTATGTGCCTCAAAATTGCATATTATTATACAGAGTTTCTACAAAACAACTCTCACAGAATAAAGCTTCTCATAAAACACTTATTAATTAAGTCTAGGAAATTGCATCGATTACTCATAAGGGAAGTAATAGTGACATGTACCGTTGGAATATAATAATCATTGAAAGCATTCCAGGAACATATTATTTACATGAATAATGGACAACAAATACATTCACATAAAACATACAATGTACTCAAATTTAATTTGAGAAATACCTCTCAAACGGACTCCAATTCTACAGTGATCCCAAATTAATTACTAAAATTTAGGTGGACAATTAGTATTGCTCGAAAACTTATGTTACTTTCTAGGTTAGAAAGAGCTCTATGTATAGACACTTCTTTTCTTGTCCAAAATGTAGATAAAAACAGGCTTCTTTCCTTCTCTATCAAGAAATAAGATTCTGAGTACTAATTAAATATGACAAAACACAAACCACAAAATTAGTTACGAAAATAATTCAAAATTCTTGTCCGAATTATTCTTACAATAATAAATTACAAATCGTTTCATTAAAAACTTGTAATTGCACTCCTCCATTTATATTTTGAAATCCTTCATTAAACACTTATATAATTTCTCATATTAAGTGTACAAATTCTAATATATAAATTAAATTACTTACGAATTTAATCAAGGATTAATTTCCTCTAGTGCACTGCTTAACTTTATTTCTAATTTTGTAAAATAATACGCAAAATGATATATAAAATATAAATTAATAATATATTATATAAAATAAAATAAAAAATTATTATATGAAAATAAAAACAAAATTGTTGAATGAAAGTAAACCAAACTTATGAGATTTGCTAATTAATTAATAAGAGATATATTGGAAAATATGTAGATATGGGAGGGATATCTTAGTCTTCAAAAAATAATTCCCTGCTTATTCTTTTTTTAAGAAACAAATATTTTTAGTTTCTTCCCAACAGCGGAAAAACTGCTTTTGTTTTCATTTAAAAGCAGTTTTAAGGATTTCTCAAACACTTGATTTTTCAAAAAAAAAATGTTTCTTTCTCAAAAAAAAATAATTTTGCCCTCCCTACAACAATACCAATCAGGCTCTTAGTCTCTTTGATTATAGAGTTGTAATCTAAAATAGTTCTTTGAAGTTAGTGAAGTTTGGTGAAATCCTACGAGGTGTAGGTGGTGGTTTTCTTCCCTTGAGCAAGGAGGTTTTCCACGATAAATAGTTGTTTATTTTGTTGTGTTCTATTTTTGCTAATTTAGGTTCTTGTTTTGGGTGGTTAAGGTTTCCACAAACTACATCTTTGTCTTGCTTCGATTTCTTGTACAAAATACATAAAAACTATCAAATTAACACAATTGTTGCTTAAGAACTTGCATTTATTCATAGTTAAAAACGTCAAATGTGTCGTCTAGTGTCGGCACATCAGTAAATATCGTTTGTTCCTTTACTTTCTTCTCTTTAGATTGTTCTTTATTGGTCTAACTATTTTGATTCAAGGAGTTGGTCCCTTGACGTTTGGTGGACTCATAGGAGTCAACATCCTTTGATTCTGGGCTTGATAAATGTCCCTCCTTAAAAATCAAGGACAAATTTATGGCAAAGTATAATGGAAGGTATATTTGAACAAAAAATATAATGATAGGTATATTTAAATCAATTTTGTCAGTTAAGAGAGATATTTAACCCTTTTTCCGTTCGTGAACCACACAAATCCGAAATTGATTGGACTGTTGCATTTCTTACCCCTTTATTTACCAATTTTTAGTCTCCGAAGTGATAGATTATTTGGAGAAACAATTAATGTCTGGAGACACAAATCCTTGAGCTTTTGATTGTAACTGGTTTATCATGGTGGACTTAGCTTATAAGCACAGATTCATGTGATATGTATTAAGAAATCCACTAAATATCTCTAAATATTTTATGGTGAACTCAATAATTATTATATATTATTTCGAGGTTGTGATGGAAACTCATAAACTTCAATTTTTGGACCTGTCTCTGTTAGCATATAGTATAGTGGAGTAGTCATTCCAACAAACACCAGAAGATAGTTTTGCACGAAGGGAAGTGTCTTAACAAACCGTATACTGTAGAAATCTTCAACAAGAGGGAAGTAATGCTTGTAAAACAAGACATACTCTATGTTCTAATCCTATTAAGAATCAGCACTCATGTTCTATATGGTGTATAGGGGTCAGCAGAACCTTTCTAGCCTCACAAATGAGAACACCAAAATAAAAAATATATGTGTTGACTCGTGCTGCTTAGCATTGACCATAATTAGCTTGAGTCGTGCTGCTTGATGGCTTACCAACTTGCAGACATTGAATTGGAGGGACGGTAGGAGTATACAACTCTCCGAAGGTCTGCCAACAGTATGGTTCATACATATGGTATTGTTCTTGTAATGGCTTTAGTTGGATATCGGTCAGGGTCACGTCTACACATGGCATACTGTCGCTGCATGCAAGATGCACCGGTTTTACTGTATAAGTTCCTGTTATTTTTTCGTAGTTAATTTCTGATAAAGCCACTGCTGATGTCTGATTCGGGCATTTGCTCTTGTCACAATAAAACTGATCAATTACAATTGGTATTTGGACTTCATAAACTTGTATGTTTGAGAACATTAGTCCGTGCACAGACCCTGATCCACCCTGCACACACAAAATGATTGTATTTTTTTACAATACACTTGGTTGTATGAATTCTCCGTATCGATCAAAATCCTGGAATTAGTTAATAAAACCTATCCAACACAAAACTAGATAAAATGGTTATTGGAATGTTGAGATTATACATAATGGTATCCATACCTGCCATGTCTTAATCCTTATGCCATTCATTGTGTTATGCATAATGATATCTTTCACAGTGACATTTGAAACACAAGCTTTAGTGTTATCTTTACCAAGCCCTCCAATGCTTATTCCATGTCCTGGTCCACAATTTATATTGTGTATATAAACATTTGAGCATCCAGTTTGTATTGAAATACAATCATCTCCTGCATGAACCAAAAATGTGTGATGGTGAGTGTATTTTCCATCATTGGAACTGCTAATAATTAAGGACATCGATCTCTTGAGCTAAGCAAAAATCGAGGAGCAAATTAGAAAATTAAAATTAATTACCGCATGAAACATTGGAACTGCGGATAAGGATATCTTTGGAGTTCTGTAAGTGGATTCCATCAGTATTAGGACTATCACCAGGGGATGAGACGCTGAAATTGTATACCGATACCCCAATGCAGTTGTCAAACTTGAGATGACATTGTGGACTATTCTGACTTGTAATGCCGGTGACTGTCACATTGGAACTTCCATAAAATCTAAGAGCCTGCATCACGTACAACAGTATCGCGTTAAAAAATTCACACAACATATGTGGCTTGAACCTTTTTGTGGTTGGTAGTCCTTACTGTTGGCTTAATGCCTGGCATTCTTCCACCAAGGGAACTGTTTAGCTGCCAGAAGACAGTGATCAGAATTAAGGAATTGAATAGGGTACAACATATGTAGACGAAACAGCTTAGGATCGAGCAAATATTACAGGAATCGGAAGACTTGTCTGCATTGTGTTGTTTGATGGGATAATTAATTTTGATTCCTCTTCTGTAGGATCACCAAATGGGGTATCATGCCACCAAACTGCACCATTTCCATCAATCTTGCCGCTTCCTTTAATTGTAATTCCAACTAGTTTTGTGAAGTCAAGCCATTGCAAAAAGCCTGAACCCCAAGCTTCAGCATCTGCTGGAGCTATGATCGTACCATCTAGCTGCAAAAGATATAAGGGGAAGTGGATATAAAACAGGTATTACTGTAGACATCGAAATTTTGTGGAACTCTACAACACAAGTTTAATTTAAGTTCTTGGAAGCTACTCTATCCTATAAAGGGTAATAGAGACATGTTTTATATTCCATAAACTCTTGTGATGCTGACAAGATCAGATGAAGATGTGGCTAAAGTCTTCTCGACATTATTCAAATACTTCAAGAAAATCCACAAAATCCATTCAGTGAGATCAAAGGAGGTTCGAGAAATAGGCTACTAACAGCCCTCGAATCACGGAATAATCTTAGAAGAGAGGAATCAAGGAATAAACAGATTTGTGTAGAGAATTGAGTTACCTGAAAGAGAATGTTGTGCTGACAGTATGGGCCAGAGAATGAAATGGGTCCAAGAAGGAATACATATTCTGATGGGACCAACATTGTTGATGCTTCTACTTTACAAGCAGCTGTCCATGCCGCTTCGAACGCCTGGGTTTCATGTAAAGGATTAGCAGTTTAAATGTTACTCATTGTTGTAAAAGTAGAAGTTAAATGCAGAGTGTAAAAGATGGTACATATGCTATAATGACATTTTGAGCACCAATTGCAAGTAAACTAGCATAGATTGGTAACTTACAAAATGTGATAAATGACACTAACTAATCTCAGGACTAATTCAACATCACAATGTACAATTGCGGACCCTTTTCATGAAGACAAAAGGAGCTCTGTTCACTGAACTCATCCTTAAAGTCCGGTCACTGAACTCACCCTTATTCGCGAGGTAGGTAGGTCTGGATCACATATCGGAACTTCCTAAAAATCCTAACTAGGTCACAATCAGTGTTATCAAAGGCGTAAAGCAAAACACAAAAAGCTCTGAGCTTTAACTGTAAAGGCTAATGCGCAAGTACAGCATGGTTTTTAATAAAGGAGTAAATGGAGAAAAAAAAATCAAGCATGTATGTGTAGTTCAAGACTACTAATTATAAGTATTTGGACAGAAAAATTACGATAAAGTGAAATATTAATTGTTTGATATCGCCTCTTCAGGGTTATCCTCATTATCAAGGAATTAAAATCATGTCTTAGAGCCTTAATGAAGACCCTAAAGCATCCACTAAAGAGGCAAAGTGATCAACATATTTTTCGCCTAACATAAGCGCACATTTGACAACACTGATCATGATGGATAAAAATTAAAACTTACCTTGGTATCGTCGCTCTTTCCATCCCCTTTGGCACCATAGTCCCTAACATTAAAAGTGGTGGCTGAATATCCTTTGCTTGGAGAATTGGTGAGCATTTTGCTCCCTTTCTTCTTGTACAGAGAAGTGGAGGAAGTTGTGATTTGTCTGCCTCTTCTGGCATTACATGTTTCTGACAAAACAAGAAATGCAATGATAAGCAGAGATATGAAGCTTCTCAAACTAAAACCTGTCATTTTTGTCTAATGGACACAGGGTATTGAGGGATTTTAAAAGCTTTGGGGACAGTTGGGTGACTAAATTTTCTTTAAATTAGCCTAAAGGAGCTAACTTGTGATTTATATAGAAAGGAATGTACAAAGTACTAATGAGAACTGTACAAGGATAAGCCAAGATTCTTTTAAGTGCTTTTTTATTAATTACACATGTCTTTACTTTATGTGATTTTTGGTTGGTTGATAACTGTTTCCTCTTTTTTTGGCATATGGAAGTTAAATAATAAAATAAAATAAAAATACACAAAGTTTATTGGGACAACCTGAACCACCAAAACCAGTTGCCAGCTTATATTAATCGTCAATAATGTAGAAGGTAGAATAACATGTTATCATGCACAAACATGCATATAATCTATTTATTCAAAAAGAAGAAAAAATCAGTTATGATTTGGTTGCTAAAGTTTTTGTTTAACCAAATCAAACTGCAGCTTAAGACGATTCACGATGCTCAAAACCAAATTTAATAAATTATAAGTTGAATCATAACATAAAATTATGATTTGATTCTAGTTAGCTCTTGCCATTTAGACCGCATGATCTTTAGTGTCAATTAATTAACGGCAATTAGCATTCTTTGTATATATCCCTAAAGCCTTTAGCGACATTGAATCGAATGACACGTTACTAATGCTGTAAGACTTTAGCACTCTTTATTTTAATGTGTATATATATTGACGCTAAAAGTTAATTTTGTTATAGTGACCTCACTTTAATTTGAGTTTAAGTTATATGCATTATGGTGTATAAAATATTTACACAATCAAGTTATTTATTAGGTAATTATAATTTATAGGTAATCTTTCAATAAACATTAGTCTCTCCATCCTAATTTATTTGAGTTAGTTTGACTTGACATGAAATTTAAGAAAGAAATATAAATTTTTGAAACTTTTGATCTAAAGTAAGTCATACATGTTTGTGTGATAATAAAGCATTTCATTAAGATTAATGAGTATTTTTAAAGTTAAATTGTTACTAAATATAGTAATATGTCATTATTTTGTAACTGATTATAAAGAAAAGTGAGTCATATAAATTGAGAAAATGAAAGTAATCATACTAAAATAGCACCCAATAATGTAGTCTAGTGATCAGTGAAGTGGTTGAGAGCTATGAAATCTTAAGTTCAACTTCCAATAAAGACAAAAAAATAATATTAGGTGATTTTTCCTATGAAGTGCACAAAAATTGATCCGAACAACATAGCAACTAAAAAAATATGATGAAGTAATAACTAACTTGCTATTACAATTTAAAGTTCACTAATAACATAAAAAGGTCTTTGCATTGTCATAGCTAGCCTGAGGCATGTCAAGCGACATCCTTTCTTCAGAAAATTATACTGTACAAATAGATCAAATTTTCATTTTATATGTTGTTGGGTTTTGGATCTTTAAGATTTAAGGGGTTGTTTGGTTTGAATACAAATTATGTTGGAATAAGTTATGTTGAGATTAGTTATCCTGACATTATTTCTTATTGATTGTATGATTTGTTCTACTAAAATTAATAACCATTGCGTACTTCCTAAAAATAAGTGGTTTGATTACAAAAATACCCTCTCATTTATCTTTTTTGTAAATTATTTTTTTGGTAGAGTTTTAGTTATTCAATCTTAAAAACAAAACCTCCTCCTTATTTAGCTTAGTTATTTTTATGTATGAATTCTTATAAATTTTATTTGTGCTCAATTATGTGCCAATTTTGGAGGTGTCAATACTCCATGCTAAAGAAAATAATATAGTGTGATGAGAAAAACTCTTTTACGTATCACATTTACTATAAAACTGTGTATAAAAAGTGAAGCAACTTATGACTCAAAATTTAGTAGCGAATGTAACATATAATACGCCCTACATGTACTTGCTCCCAAATTTGCTCAACGTATAATACGTCCACATTTTACTTCAATATCTTCATCTTTGAAGCCTCCAAACAAATCCATCAAAATGTTGACAATACTAAAATCAATAGTGCTCTTTTAATGGGAGTTCATAATTAAAGGATTTGAAGGGTAGTTTTTTCATTTAATAAGTTTATTCAATGACAAATTATGATGGGATTATTACAGGGAAAATTGTGCATTATAGCAAACTATTAATTCAAAATAAATGTTGTAACTATAGTTTTATTTAATTCCAATTCGCAGCGAACTCTCTTGTCATTCGCCTCTCTCCCTGAATCTCGCTCGTCACTCTCCCTCACCTCTCTCACTTTATACAAACACAAATGTATAAATTGTGTTTGTGTTTATGTTTGTCTAAAGTGAGAGAGACTGTATATACAAATACAAATTCATATCTACCCGTCTTATACACTTATAATTATACAAATACAAATCGTCCCCTGCCCAGTTCTCTTTTGTCTTTCTCTTTCTCACTTTATACAAACACAAATTATACAAATTACAATGTATAAGTTTTTTTTAATAAAGCGCGAGAGAGATTTGATATACAAATAGAAATGTTTTAACTCAATTCAATTATATATAAATTCAAATTTTATGCAGATATACAGATACAATCATTGATACATATACATAGTAGTTACATATATACAACTAGGTAAATTACCCGTGCTTCACACGGAATTGAACTATTTTATTAAGCTTATGTATGATCATTCGGTAATATTCGTATTTTTTATACATACACTACATTGTCAAGAACATTTTATCTTAAGGCAAAGCGTTCCTCCGAAATTTTAAAGTGCTACATTTTTTTAATTTTCTTTTTTGTTGCACAAAAATTATGAGTCATAGAGAGATTTTAAGTATAAGAAAGAAGTCTAAGAAAATATCCATGGAAATAGTTTTTTAGAAGTAACGAAATTTTCTAAATTCCAGAAAGTTATAAAGAACAACATCAGCCGTTAAAGTAGAGACCAAAAAGCCTCGAACAATAACACTACCAAGTAAAGTGGAACATCACGTCCATACAAGAACATAATTAACTAAATTAAAATGGAGGACCTTCGGCTCCTTTCTTATGAACCTCCATCAATCTCTTTATTATTATAGTATGTTGTATCATGTATATGTCAAAAATGACCCTAAAATTGGTAATATCATAAAGGTTTTTCCTCATTGTGTCATAATAGTCATTATTATTGCTTAGGTTTCATATCATCGGCCCCAAGTTATTTGGAATTGAACCATAGTTATTGTTATGGTTATAGTATGCAGTTACAAAGAATTAATGCAATGATCAACCTAACAGTAGGTTGCATTTGAATGAAATTATTCACAACTGGATATTCTAAACCAAAATTTTGATACATAACATATTAAAATCTCACAGCATAATTTTGTGAGTACTTGAACTCACAAATATACACAAATAATATTAAAGACGGCCTTACTTTCCTAACAATCAAGAAGATAAAGGCATGTTGCTTAACATAATTTTCAAAAAGATAGTATGTCGGGTTGTATCCAAATTTACAGTTCACAAATTTAATTGAAAGAAGCCAAAAGAAAGAGTTATTACTACAACAAAAATGATATTTAATGACAATTAATAGCTTAATTGCCGCTAAATATATATTTTAAGAGGCAATTAGTACTCTCTATACATGTCTCTGAAGTTTATAGTGACATTGAATCTAATAAAATTAATTAATGTCTGTAAAGGCTCTAGAACTTTTCGTTAATGCACATATTTATTGTCGATAAAAAATATTTTTGTTATAGTTTATTTTGGGCATCTATTAGTTTCTAGAAAACTTGATCTCTTATCATGCCCAAAAAGAAGAAAGGGAGAAATATGGTAAATTAGTCAACTTGCGATAAAAGAAGTGGAATAATTATTTCTACACTAATATTCTAGGAAGAGTGAAATGACATACAAAATGTTTGTACCTAAGATAAAAACAATCAAAATAATATACTAACTGTGGCGAGTAAGAGAACAATCTATTTGGTTCTTTTAACAAACTTCACCATTGGTTCCGTATTAGCTATCACATATATATATTTGTTGTTGTGTGCTATCAAATATAGCACAACCCACAAACAATTTTCGCAAAAAGTATATGAAGAAGCATGTAGAAAGGAACAAAAGAGAAGATTAATTTTCAATCATCCTAACTAGGATTTTTAACAGAGTTCAAAAAAGTCACCAAAATAGCAAAAAGAAATTGCAATAGTTACATGAATCACTATGACTTATAGTAAAAGATTAAGCTTCATGAAATAGGAGGAAGAAAACTTTGAGGAATGAAACACACTTCATAAGAAGCTTAACTAATATATTTGAATTTGACTCCCCTATAGCGGAAAAAACCTATAAATAATAGTGGCAGAAATAGAAGTTTTGTATACTGAAGAACTAAATGTTATGAATTCAACCATTCCAACAGCGTTATGAGTTGTGGACTGAGAGGCGCAAGAGTAATAATATCGCATTGCAATTAAAATCATTTTTTTTTGTTTATTCTTTCTTCTTTCGGTGTCTTGGAATTAAGTGTTGGATTTTAAAATGTGTGAATGAAAAATGAAGAGTTTTTGTGAAAAGTTGTGATTTTTGTGAAAAGTTGTGACTTTTATGAAAAATCATCGTGACTTTTTTGTAGAGTTCTGACTTTCAAAAGAGTTGTGAATTTTATGAAAATTATGACTTTTCTGTAGATTGTGACTTTTAAGAAGGGTTAAATAAGAATAGTCGCAACTTTTCATAAAAGTCACAACTTTTCATGAAAGTCACAAATCTTCATATTTCATTCAAAGCTCTAATAAATGACATTGACCCTCAATCTATGTTGTACCACCCCTAGACAAAAAAAGATTAACTCAAATCACCAAAGGTAAAGTAAGATTATCAAGAAATGGTAGACTAATGCATAGAACAATGCAAGTATACATAGGATTAAAGGAGAAAAATTCACAATTTCAAAATTAAAAAGAAAATTCTCAAGGTATAACTATTATATAATCATTTGAGCCAGTTAACTCACATAGT